ACACAGACCCACCTGGCCATGCTTCTGGAGTGCTAGAATCAAAACTATCACACAGACCAGGATTTTTTTCCTGCTTTCTCTCTCTCTCTCCCTCTCTCTCTCTCTCTCTCTCTCTCTCTCTCTCTCTCTCTCTCTCTCTCTCTCTCTCTCTCTCTCTCTCTCTCTGTCTCTCTCTCTCTCTCTCTTTCTGAGACACAGCCTTGGCTATGAAGACTTATCCATTAGAGAGCTGCTAAAGTGTTGCCAATGGTATACTTGTGTGTGTTAACAAAACTAAAATTGGTGGATTTGCTATAGTTGGTCCTGTGACACCGTCCTACCCAGCCCTTTGCTGGAATGTAGATGATGGTTCCAGTATGGTAGGTTGCTGCCCGTCTGTCCTCTGCTTAGCCAGAGTGGTTGTGTGTGGGGTATGCTATGTTCTTGGCCACTGAACCAAGCTTCCAGCTTTCATTGTACCTCTCCCATTATTCCTGTTGCCCTCAGACCATGTGGCACCTGTACTGCTTAAGTCTCACCAGCGTTTCTCCTTTTAAACATCGGGGGCTGAAGAGATGGCTCAGTGGCTAAGAGCTCTGGCTTGATCTTCCAGAGGTCCCCAGTGTAACAAGTCTTTTCTCTGTCCTGTCAGCCATCCCCCAAATAACGACACAGAGACACAGATTATTAAAAGCTCAGCCTATAGCTTAGGCTTGTTCGTGACTAGCTCCTCTATCTTAAATTAACTCATTTTTAAATCTACATTCTGCCACATGGCTTTCTACCTTTCTTTCTGTGCCTCTGACTTGTTCTGTTTCCTGTTGTCTCCTGCGCACCTAGATTCCTTTTCCTTTCTCTCTCTGCCTAGAAGTCCTGCCTATACATCCTGCCTAGCTATTGGTTATTCAGCTATTAATTAAGCCAATCAGAAGGTACCTTGGCAAAGACATCTTTACAATGTGAACAAACATTCCACAGCATTTTCCCCTTTTTGTCTAGTTAAAAAGGAAAGGTTTTAACTTTATCATAGAAAAATGATATACAATAAGAACAATTATCAGGTAAGAATTACATTCACAATGTCTATCTAGTCCATTTGTATTTAGTATATTCAGAGAAAATACTCTATCTTGATGAATTTAAAGTTTTATTCTTAAACTATTTTCTACCATAACTTGTATTACCATCCTAAAACTATCTTTTAGACTTCAAAACATTTTCTTAAATAACTTAAACCTTTATGGTTCTTCAACCTTATACATTTTATACCTCTTTTGTGAGTTTTTTAAAATTTGGTAACAAGGAGAACTGTAATATTATGACTATCTCATCTTCAACTCCATCAGAGACCCAAGAGGGTATAAATTACCTGAGCAAACAAAGTGTAGAGCAGTTAACTTCCAAAACTAGAAGTGACAGAGACATCTGGCTGCCTGGACAGTTACAAGGCTTCTTTGTAACATTGGGACATCCATCCTCGACCTACAGGCCTAGAATATCTGACAGACTTTTCTGTAAAGCAGGAGTTTGGAAGGACTGTCCCACCTTGTCTTGGCAAAGTCTAGCAGTCACTTTATTTTTGTGTCCAGCTTGTTGAGTTTGGACAGCATACTGCCAGCAGTCAAGGCAAGGGCAGTTTCTTGCCCAAATGGCTAACTTTGTCTCATTGAAATCAAACTTCATATGGGGGTTCTTCAAAACCCACCATCTTGTTTTGAAGTAAATTAGTATTGCCAGAAGCAGACATGTCTTACTGTCACAAAAAGCCTTTTGTTATTGAAAACATTTTAAATTCCATATTCTGTAGGTCTTTGAAGTGTTTGAAGACCATCTATCAAAAATATATTTCTGTATGATCTTGAAAACATACCTAACATGACTACAAGTTTGGTATAAATGCTTAACTAGCCCACATTTTTAAATTACTCCCAATGTTGTATAATAATAGTTTTTTTTTGTTTTGTTTTTGTTTTGTTTTGTTTTTGGTTTTTCGAGACAGGGTTTCTCTGTGGCTTTGGAGGCTGTCCTGGAACCCGCTCTGTAGACCAGGGTGGCCTCGAACTCACAGAGATCCACCTGCCTCTGCCTCCCAAGTGCTGGGATTAAAGGCATGCGCCCCCAACGCCCGGCATAATAATAGTTTTTAAGGACTAGAACTTTATATTACATTTTAAACACTTATCGTACTGTTCATGAGTTGAATCATGTGCTATCTGTTATGAACCTTAGATGTCATCACACTGTCTTGCCCACATTGAATTTGGAAGCAATCTCATTAGTAGAAACTGCAGGTTAATCTATGAAAAGCTATATAATTGCACGAACCCAGAAAGCACTGCAGTTGCATTATATTTTTGTCATTTGGATAGTTGTCTTCAAGTTCCTGGTGTTTTTAGAAATGCCCTCACACAGAAGAAGGAGGGAAACCAACGAAACTGATAAACTTCTGGCGGTATTTAACGATGATTTATCAGATATTCCTAGTGAGATGGAAGATGGAGATGACTGTTTTTATTATTCCTGAGAGGATTCTACCGATTCTGTTGACAGTGAAATTAGATCTGTGAGGAAGAGCAAGGTGGCGGTGCTTTCAAGTGACTCTGGCTCTCACAAAGCTACTGATAATTGTTGATCTGAAATCAACGCACCACCATGCTTACAAATGTTTGAAGGTCATGCTGGGGTCACTATATTTCTGTGTCTGTGACTCTGTGACCCATCTCTTTTTGGTGATGAATTGTTGGAGACATAGTACAAAGGGCTGTTCAGTTACCATGATGAAACCTCAGTGAAGAGCAGAACACAATCTGCAACACTGGTGTGGCCTCCGGCTACACAGAAGGGCATCAAGACAGTCTTTGGGCTAATTGTCCTGATGGGCCAAACAAGAAAAAAGAGCTTGAAGACTGTTAGTCCACAGACCCTTTGATGTGTACCCGTATATTTCTGCAGACAGTCACCACAGGTTTGAGCAAATACGGACATTCTGCCGTTTCAATGATAATGCCAAAATGGACAGTCATTCTTCATGATCCAACCTGTGCTGGATTATTTCCTGCATAAAATTTGAACAATGTACAATCCAAAACAACAGTTGTCTTTGGATGATTCCATGGAGAGGACAGTTAAAATTTCGTACGTGCCACCCAGAGAAAATAACAAAATATAGTTTACTTGTTTGGATGGTGTGCTCTAGTGACACAGACTATATATCTGCAATATGGAGATATACGCTGCTGAAGGAAAAAAAATTGCAAGAACTGTTCTTTCAGTCATTGGACTTTATCTTGGCATATGGTACCATATTTACCAGGATAATTATTACAGTGCTGCATCTACTGCTGAATTGCTTTTACAGAACAAATGTAGAGGTTGTGGGGCTGTTAGGGAGAGTAGAGGTTTGCTACCATATTTGAAAATGTAACGTCAAGAATGAAGAAAGGTGATAGAATATTCTCCAGAAAAGACAATATTTTTCTCCGTGCATGGATAGACAAGTGGTTTGTCTGAATGATACCAACAGTCCATGACACTCCTATCTGTCTTTATGACAGCAGGGAAAAAAGAGAAAAATGGGAGAGAATCACCCACCAGCATCAAGGAATACAATGCCTACATGAGAGGCATTCACTGCCTTTCATGTTATTCTATTCTAAGGAAAAAAATGAAATGGACAAAATAAGTAGTTCTGTGCTTAAAATGTAGACTTTTCAGTTCATTTAGAATGTACAGTGTCCTCAGTCCACAAGCAAAAGTGAAATGTAAATAGTTTCTGCTGTAGGTACAAGAAGCTGGATAATGGATGACAATGATGAAGTCTTTCCAGAACCAGAGACAGATCCGTCCAGCCCTTCCCCTGGGGGTGCAAGGAGAGCAACTGTAGAGAGCACCCAAGAGGCTGTCAGGTGACGGGAACTTGCGTGCATTCCAGCAAGTAGAAAGAAACAATTTCCTGTGAGAGCCTGCAGAGTTCATGCAGCCCATGGAAAAAGATGAAAATTTTGTTTGGTCCCTCTTCATAGAGGAAAATGTTTTATGCAATACTGTATGTTAAAAAAGTACTAGGAACTTTATTTAGTTTAATTGTTTTTGTAAATAAAAATGTTATAATTATTGAAAGAAAACCAACACCTAAAGTACATTAGGATTATGTAATTATGATGATTTAAATAACATGCAGTTTGCCTAAAAATGTGGGGTCCATGTGTATGTCTTAGAGATTTGTGTGTGCTCTGAAATGTGCTGATTGAGCTGCATAGTTACAATACCTTAAACAAGGGTAGAAACATACACAGTATAACAAAAATAACCTTATTTTGTGTTAATATATAAAAACCCATACCAATGTAAGACATTTGAGACTAGCAGTTGTTTAAAAGTAGCCCTAACAATCCCCCTTCTAGCCCATCATTTCTATATGGTGCCCCCTTTCCCTTCAGAAAAAGATCCTTGAATCTAATCTCCTTTGTAGCCTTTTTCCTGTCCATTACCAATAGCAGCTTGTAACCAACCCCTCCAGATGAAGGGAAACACCAGTTACCCACTGAATGTCCAAAGCCACTCCGCCTCTTGGGAATGTGGGCACTTCCGTTCTCTAGACACATCTTTGGGTCCAGAGTCACGTTGAGAACTTTTCAGATGTATTTCCCAGGTTCCATATAAGCAGTAAGCAGTTAGGAAGGATTTCTGCCATTTCCATTTCAGCCAGCATTTTCTGTGCTCTCTTGAAAGGGTCAGTTGATGTGAGAGTTTGGTATGCAGACATGTTTGAATTGGTGTTTGCTATTGTCTAACTAACCCAAAGCTATGGAGCGTGGTGTTTAACTAGCTGATTTATTTGCTGGGAACTTAAATACACAAAATTTATAAGATGGAAAAAAACCTCTGTATCCATTGTCTAGGGTCAGTCATTAATTGTGATGAATTATGAGAAACAATTTTAATCTGATAATAATTTTTAGACATTACTTTGAGTCTAGATACATTCAAAACCCTTAATGGAATCATTTCTTTTTTGGCAGTGTATCCTGAGGGTACAGGCGGGTGTTTGAGGAGTACATGCGGGTTATTAGCCAGCGGTATCCAGACATCCGAATTGAAGGAGAGAATTACCTCCCTCAACCAATTTATAGGTGAGTGAGTTTCAGTGACTGGAATACAGTCTTTCAACTACAAGCTTTGTAAATGGGTTCATGTAATTTCTTATTTGCTTATAATATACAGAGAATGCTACTTTGTAAAGAACAATGGGATGAAGAGTTTTGTTTTTGTTTTACCTGCTCATTCATTTTTTTGTTTATTTATTTATTTTTGGGTGATGACTTTAAAGAGGTGTTTCCTCCTGCAATTTATGCTGGGAAATTAGTCTTAAGATTGATTGAGCCCGGGTTGTTTCACCTTCTGAGCATGCATTTTACCTCAGAACCCCACCCCACCCCAATTTCCTAGAAAATGAACGATACTAAATGTAATGTAATTAATAACTTGTATTTTACACCTAGAAGATATCTTCACATACAGTTTAATTATTAAATTTCAGAATGGACAAGCTGTAGTTACTGATTAATTTGTTTCTTTTCTTTTGATAGACATATAGCATCTTTCCTGTCAGTCTTCAAACTAGTATTAATAGGTTTAATAATTGTTGGCAAGGATCCTTTTGCTTTTTTCGGCATGCAAGCTCCTAGCATCTGGCAGTGGGGCCAAGAAAATAAGGTATGTATATGGCTTTGGTGCCTGGGCTTTTAGGTTGTGGTGTGTGGCATTCATTTTAGGGCTTTTGTTTTGTTTTTTTAACTTGGAAACACAGGGACAACTTTATTAGCATTCAAAAGAGAAAGAAACTGTAAAGTGTCAGCAGCTGCCTGGAGAGAAGGAAAAAGGCACAGCATTTAAGCTGATACAGCATTCAGACCTGTGGTGGGTGTGCAGCCATGTGGTAGAGATGGACGCCACAGAGCATGCTAGCATGGGGAGAGGAGAAGACAGAAGTTATGTCGTTCCCAGGGTTGGGCTTTTCTTAGTTACTCAGTCAGGTGCGCAGGCTTATTACTGCATGGCTGCAGCCTCTCAACTTTCACCCATTAGTCTTACTTGTATCTTTTTACTTAAAATCTTTTTTTCCTGAGTCATTTGCCATCATTGAATGGGAGTATTTTAGATGCTCCTTATGAAGCGGGTTCTCTGGGGAGTGTCCCAGCTCTGCCCTCAGTTCTAGACTCGGTGCCTTTAACAGGACTCCTGCCTGGTGGTTCTTCTAGAACAGGCATTTGTTAACATGAATATCCTTAGGTGGCTAGGAGAAATACGTCTCTGTCCCGTTGTTGGCCAGACCGGGGTTTGCAGTTGAGTGCTGATGCGTTGTGTGCTGTGCTCACTGACGTGTAGCACGTGGTATAGTGCCATTCTTGGTTCATTGTGGGAGAGCCTAGAGTAGATACAGTGTGTGACAGTGCCTTCTGTGTTCCTATAAAAAGCTGTGACATCAAACTCCTCCTTGCCCAAATAGAATAGACAGGCAAGCTCTTTCTTTCTCTTTGGACATTTACTTTTTGAAACAATGTATTATGAATTTATTGCTTCACCATATCCAACTTTTTGTCCTATGTAATTTTACTAAATTAAAGCAGTTGTACTCTTTTTGAAGAGGGTAGATTTACCTTTGAAGGGTGAATGCATGTGTTTCTATATGCTAGAGCAGTCTAAGCCTACAGATGGTTCTAACATGATTTTTTAAAAAACTTAAGTAGGTTGTATGTAATATACATAAAGTTGGTGGCTGCATCACCATTCTCTTGTGAAGGCATTTTACACTGTAAAGTTGGTATTTAACTTCAGCTGTTGAGGAGTTTCAGAAATCCGACAGGTAATAAGAATGCTGTATGTAGGTTCTTTAAGATGTGAAGAGCTGTGAATTTTTCCTGGTGTTTAGGTGATTTGTGAGATGACATTTTATATGGACACTTAAATTATATTAAAAGAAAGTACTATCAAATTAAAGTTGAAACTGAATTAAAAATGAATGTGTCTTTTGTTTTGTGCTGTTTGACTTCTAGGTTTATGCATGTATGATGGTTTTCTTCTTGAGCAACATGATTGAGAACCAGTGTATGTCAACAGGTGCATTTGAGATAACGTTAAATGGTAGGTTCTGAGTAGTGTGCATTTGTGATAAATTACATACTTAATAACAAGCAGGCTTTTTATTTTCCATGGAGACGTCTTTAATGTTCATATAAGAGTTTATATTATAGAAATTGGAGGTTCAGAAGAAGAATTTTAATTGCTACTTGAGGTTCTAGACCTTCTAGATGATTTGGCTCCTGTGTGTTTACTGTCTGATTAATACTCTGCTCCGTAGCTTTCAAGTAAAACCTGGATGATGATTCCTGAGCGCATAACCGTAGGGTACTGGAGACCTGTTTTGAGTGCTTTGCTTGGGAATCTTTATCATAGCCTACTTCAAAATAAGCTCCTAGCTACTTGCTCTGGTTCCATGTGCTGCTTTGATTTTCCTCTTGGGTCTTTGCTCATTTAATCGTGCCATCATTTGTTCTCCTGCTTTGCCCAGAACCCTAGGGTAGCCTTCTGTTACCCTCCACTCCATAGTTAAGGGATCACCAGAACTTCTGTTCTGTCTCCTACATTGCTACAAATCTACTTCTGTTAATAGTCCCTGCTGGCTCCCCAATCTGCGTTACCTGTCACATGGCTCTTGTTTTCTGAGCAGTAGATTGGCGAATATACCTTCAACAGTGATTTTACCTTTTTGTTCATTTTGTTCTTTAAGACAGTGTTTCTCGCCGGGCGTTGGTGGTGCATGCCTTTAATCCCAGCACTTGGGAGGCAGAGGCAGGTGGATCTCTGAGTTTGAGGCCAGCCTGGTCTACAGAGCAAGTTCCAGGACAGGCTCCAAAGCAATACATAGAAACCCTGTCTCGAAAAAAAAAAAAAAAAAAAAAAAAAAGACAGTGTTTTCTCTGTGTGACAGCCCTGGCTGTTCTGAACTCACTAAATATTTTTTCCATTTTTAGATACCAGTCCCAGTTCCCCTTCCCTCTCCTTCCTCCCATTTTCCCCCATCCACTCTTCAGAGGGGAAAGGCTTCCCTTGGGGAGTCAACAAAGTCTGATATACCAAGTTGAGGCAGGACCTAGGACCCCCCACCCCCATCAAGACTGAGAAAGGTGACCCACCACAGGGGGTGGGCTCCAAAAAGCCACTTCATGCACCAGGATAGGTCCTGGTCCTTCTGCCAGCCCCCCCCAAACAGATAAAGCCGAATAACTGTCACCCACATTCAGAGGGTCTAGTTCCCTGGCTGTCAGTCCATGAGCTCTCACTAGCTTGGGTCTGCCGTCTCTGTGATTTTCCCCATCATGACCTCCCCCACCCATGTTCATGTGATCCCTCCTCCCTCGCTTCAACAGCTCATCCCAGTGCTTGGCGGTGGATCACTGCACATGCTTCCCTCAGTTGCTGGATGTAGGTTCTGTGATGACAGTTAAATTTTAGGGGAAAGCCAGATCAGGCCCCCTCTCCATTATTGCTAGGAGTCTTAGCTCAGGTCGTCCCTGTGGATTCATGGGAGTGTCTCTAGCACCAGGGTTCTCCCTAACCCATAATGGCTCCCTTATCAAGGTATCTCTTTCATTGCTGTCCCCTCTGTCCCTCCACCAACTCCGCCATCCCTGCCCCATGTTCCCTTCTCCCAGTCCCTTCCTCTACCCCCCTCCCAGTTTACCCAGGAGATCTTAACTGTTTCCCCTTCCTGGGGCCCTCCATGTGTGTCCCTCTTAGGGTCCTCCTTGTTACCTAGCTTCTCTGGGGCTGTAGATGGTAGTCTGCTTATCCTGTGCTCTACGTCTAATGCCCACTTATGAGTGAGTACATACCATGTTTGTCCTTCTGCATCTGCGTTACCTTACTCAGGGTGGTTTCTTCTAGTTCTTCTATCCATTTACCTGCAAATTTCAAGATTTTTTTAAATCACTAAGTAACACTCCATTGTATAAATGTACCACATTTTCTTTATCCATTCTTCGCTGTTTCCATCAATCTAGGTTGTTTCCATCAATCTAGGTTGTTTCCAGGTTTTGGCTATTAAAAATAATGTTGCTATGAACATAATTGAACAAATGTCCTTGTTGTATGAATGTGCATCCAAGAATGGTATTGCTGGGTCTTGAGGTAAATTGATTCCCAATTTTCCGAGAAACTGACATACTGATTTCCAAAGTTATGCATAGCTTTAAAATGTTTTCCCATGGCTGACTTCAACTTGCTGTGTGAGTTGAATGTCTGTGACAAATGCTCTTCCCTAGGCAAAAATACCCCAATCTAAATTTCTGTGCCTCTCAGTCTCAGTTGCAACACTTCCTGATGTAGCCTGTGCAGGTCCACGAGCCTGTACTCTAGTGTAAGGACTTGTCTTTATCTGAGGTGTAGTTTAACCGATGTGCTTTCCTGTACTTAGTGTGAGGACTTGTCTTTATCTGAGGTGTAGTTTAACCGATGTGCTTTCCTGTACTCTAGTGTGAGGACTTGTCTTTATCTGAGGTGTAGTTTAACCGATGTGCTTTCCTGGCCAGTCAGCAAGAGACGCTGCTGTTTGCACTCCATAGCACTGTAGCACTCTGGTTTAATCTTAGTAAAGAAATAAAATTTTGTGCTGACTTTTGTAATGCCCAGTGCTTCCTTTGCTGCAATGGCAACTCCCTAAGAGGAAGAAGAGTACACCTCCGTACCCCTAATTGTGTGTGAGACTCAGTAAATGTTTATGGGGTCAGTATCTACATGGTCAATGTGTTTTGAGGTGGGGGTGCTGACTGTTTGTTTCTCTAGATGTGCCGGTATGGTCTAAGCTGGAATCTGGTCATCTTCCGTCCATGCAACAACTTGTTCAAATTCTTGACAATGAGATGAAACTCAATGTGCATATGGATTCAATCCCACACCATCGGTCATAGCCCTACCTGTGGCACTGAAAACTGTTTTGTGAGTAGTTTAACAAGCACAGTAACTTTTCCTAGGTGTCCATTAATTTTTACCACAAACGCTAGTAGATGCTACTTATATTATCACTTCAACTTCCCACTTAAGGTGAAACAGATGGGTGTGTCTTTCAAACCCTGAACTCCTAGTAGCCAGAATTGCTGTGGTTTATTGTAGTTTGTAGCTACATAGCTTCTCTTTCAAATAATTAGTTACTTTTTTAACTAATTTTTATTTTTAACATACTTAAGATAGAAAATTTATGAGCACTTGTGTAAATGTGAAGAGACTTGGTTAGCTGTTGCTGCGTAGTAGTATCAATCTCTGTTGCTTTCTGATGAGTGGGTTAGCTTCCCAAGAGTGGGTATAGGAGTGACTACTAAAATACACTATCTTTTCTTTCTCTTTGTTTCAGACACTAAGGGATTTTGCAAGAGCAGCGTGACTGACATTATGAAGGCCTGTACTGAAGACAGCAAGCTGTTAGTACAGACCAGATGTTTCTTGGCAGGCTCGTTGTACCTCTTGGAAAACCTCAGTGCAAGATAGTTTTCCCATTGCTGGCACATGCTGAATTCTGCACATACATGGAGTGCAACGAAATGATACTGTGTAGCTTCCCCGAACCCACTGTTAATAGTTTCTTCTTGACGTGGCATTACTACTTGTAACTCTTTTCTTGGTCATGTTTGAGAAAGTACAGAATTGAATTACAACTTGAGTTTTTTTCAAGATGTGTGTTAAGCTTGCGTTTTTATATGAATTTTCATTTTTTTTTTTTTTTACAGTTTAACCTTAGTTTTCTTGGGGAAAATCCTGAAGTTCCCAAATAATTTATAAAAGTTTATCAGATAGCTCTAATTTGGTTATGCTTAATATATAGTTTTCAGAACACTGCAGATTGTGAACAATAAATTATACAGGATTATGGGGGGAAATCCAATATCCAAAGTACTCTACTGTGTGAGTGTGTGTGTGTGCGTGTGTGTATGCGCGCGTGCGCACGTGTGCGTGTGTGTGTGTGAGACAGAGACAGAGGGAGATTGATTGATTGATTATCAGGAACAAGAACAACTGCTTTTAGAATCCTATTGTGTAGTTCAAATGTCTTGCCTTGACCAATCTAATGAATCGATTAATGGGTCTTTATACTAAATAATAAGAAAAGTGAGCAGGTGAAAGTTTATTGCTCAGTGTACCTGTTATCTTTATTTTTAGTAACATCTGCCTCATGTTTTGTTTTTGACTTCAGATACTCTCATAAAGGGCATACTTTACATTCACACACAAGCGATGAGCTAACTTACTGTTTAGAACAGTAACTGTTTTTAAAACAGTTGAAACTCACCTCACTAAAGAAAAATTCAGTGAAACCTCTTTATAAAGTATGTATTATATAAACGGAGATCATTCGTCTAGTAATTGAATTATCTTACCATCCTATATCAGAATTCTATTGTATTTGGAAGACAAAATTAAAAATATTGTTAATGTGTTCATATTGGTCCAGAGTTCTAAAAAGAAACCTAGAGTTGATAAAGATAATAAGAATGATTTGGCAGAACTAGAAACATAATGTTGAATAACAGTTACACAGCAGCCATCGTAACAGACAGGGATTACGTGGAAGAGCCAGTTGTAACCCTGGATTTGTGGGTGAAAGTTAAAGAGCTTAAGGGAAGGGTGTGGTGCCACCCAACTCTTAGATGTTAAGAGCAGCTTGACTACTGCACATACCTTGAGTACATTCGGGCCATGCCTCTTAGTATGACAGCTTAAAGTGGGATCTACTGTGGTCCTCAGGTAACAGAAGATAGTCTAGTGATGAACTAAGTGATGCGATGTGACCTTTTGGTTAGTGCGGCGGCAGGGCTAGCCCGGGATCTTCTGGTGATAGGTGTTGTCATTTACACTCAAGTTCCTTAGAGGTTATTATTTATGTGTAAATATACATACATATATATATATATTTTGACTAGGTCTTAAAACTTTGTTAATGTGATTGCTTATCACTCCAGACTCCACATCTTGTAAAGTTTCGCATTAGAGGGACCTTTCTTCAAGTAATGGCATTCCATTTGTGACACAGTTTTTGGCACATAGACATTCAGAATTTGGCCATGGATGTTCATGTGTACTTGACAGGTCAAACTATGAAGAACCTAAAGTCAAATCCAACTTTCTCCATGTTTGCCTTAGATTGATTTAGATTGATTTTGTCTCCTAGTTAATAGCTTTAACTGTCTTAGACATCTAGTAAAATTCAGCTGTTTTATCCACACTCATCTGTTTTATGCTTATTCATATTTAAATCCAGAAATTAATATTCTACTAAACAGATAAATGAGATGCATGAATATAAAAATTATAAGGTAAAGGAGAAAGTAAACTATAACTTTATTACTAACAATTTAAAATTTATTAGTTGCTTATAAATTGGTATAGCTGTATAGTTACAAGATGTCTGTGCTCTATAAATCAGAGGACTGTGGACTTGTCAAAGGCTAGCTAATTTTCCTGGAGTTTTCAGTTCAGTTGCCATTGTGGAAGGTCTTTGTGTTCATGAAAAGGTTGGTAAACATGGCTTTAGGCCTCAGCGTGTGAGGTTACAGGAACGCCTGCTTTCTGAATGTGAGTAGCTGGTTATGGCACTAGCGTTAGAGACAGTTGCTCAGCCTGAACACCTGTGAAATGTGATGAGGTCCCGTGATGGTGCGTCCTTTCTCTAAAGGTTATTAGTTTGGAATTTTGATTGACTGACACATTCTATCATTGTCATAACTTAAAATAATTCAGTTAAAAGGTTTTTTTTAAACATTTGATATTCTAGGGATTTTCTTTAAAAAAAAAGCAAGTAAAGAATTGTAAACATTTGGGACTTCTTTGTGGCATTGTGAAAATAAATAAGCCAACCTGAAAGGAACCCTGCTTTGTGTGATTATGTATGAATATATTTTATGTTAAAAGTTGTCATGTATTTCTAATGGCTTTTTTGTTTTGTTTTTCGAAGCAGTGTTTCTCTGTGTAACCCTGGTTGTCCTGGAACTCACTTTGTAGACTACGATGGCCTCAAACTCGGCCTCAAACTCCTCAGATTCATCTGCCTCTTCCTCCCAAGTGTCGGGAATAAAGGCGTTTGCCGGCCACCACCAACTGGCCTCTGATGGCTTCTTAAGCCAGCCGATTTTTGTCCTCCGTCTCCGACTGACATTGTCTTACCACTGTTAGACCTTAAAACTGCTTTTCTTAAGCCTTATAATTTACAAGCACCGTTCTGAAGCTCTGTGATTTATTCTAGGCTGGGGCATAAAGGAAATAGCATACATTGTCCATCTTTTCCTCCGTCTTCCAGTTTTCCTGAGAAATTTACATTGTAACATCTCCAAATCTAAGGAGGAGAAAACACCCCCTTTTTTGTCTCAAACAGCAAGTCAATTTAGAAGAAAATAAAGGTCACTTTGTTTTAGTTAAGCCAATACTTACTTTCCCAGGCTCTCCCTCCTCTTTCAAAAAGATTACAGGTTAACCAGACCCAGCTTGAACACAACGTAACCAGTTTCAGATTTAGTGAAGACCACAAGCTGTACATTCTCTCCCAAAGCTAGCAGGTTGGGTTTCTGCTCTGCTCTATCAAGCATGAGCCGAGTGAGCAGCGGGTTAACTGCAGTGTGCTCCCCAAACTGCCCTTTCAGTTTCTGCCTAATCGAGACCAGGCCGGATGCCGATTCCTCTGCTCGGAAATGAGCCCAGGAATTTGCATTTCTTTTATTTATTTATTTATTTATTTATTTATTTATTTATTTATTGGCTTTTTGAGACAGGGTTTTTCTGTATTGTTTTTGAGGCTGTCGGTCCAGCCTGGCCTCAAACTCACAGAGATCCACCTGCCTCTGCCTCCTGAGTGCTGGGTTTAAAGGCGTGCACCACCACTGCCTAGCGGAATTAGCATTTCTTAAAGAGCTTGAAGATAATGTTCATAATCAGTCTGAGCTACACACTGAATAACATGATTTAGCCCAGAAGAAAAACAGTGAAAATTGCCTGCTTTTTCAGGAACACTTAAGTAATTTGGTAAAATAGCAACTTAGATAAACAGCATGACAAGGTTGTTTCTTCAGAATAAAAGTTACTCCAATTAATATTTTGACTGCTGTATACCGTTTCCTGTGGGTTCCTGTTAAAGAGCTTCCTGGATAAAAGAATACAATCTTTTTGCATGTGTCCGTCTTAAAAGTGTATAAACTGACAACATGACTGTTTCGTGGTGTAGCTAAAGGGAAGGTCTTTGTTGTAGATAGGAGAACACCAGAGGTATCTGGAAGGTTCCAGAGCAGAGAGGAGTAGACTGAATGTAGGCAGGGATATCTGCGGAGGGAGACCAGCAGGGCACTGAGAAAACACGGTGAGTGTGAGCGAAGCAAGAGCAGAGGGCCTTCAGGAGAAGGACAGTGAGGGGAGGGATGCCCTGGAGCTGCCGGGAGTTCAGGATGGAGGAGGAGACCCTTCTCAATGGAGACTCAGCTCAAATGCCAGCCCGGACCAGTGTGCCCAGGGGACTCACCATGGATGGAGAAAAAGCACTCCATGATAAGACTAAATTTAAGCAATGTCTGTCTACCAATCCAGCCCTATAGAAGATGCTAGAAACTAAACTCCAATCTCAACCTAATGAGGTTAACTACATCTAAGGAAACACAAGAAATTAACAATCTCGAGTCACCAAAGTCAAAAGGGAAAAACACCGTCAACAACTTAATAGGAATCGGCAATCATTGGTCGTTGCTGTCAATATCAATGGCCTCATTTACCCTCATGCCCTACGTTCCTACATTTCCTGTTTATTTCTTACTGGATATTCACTCCTTTGTTTGTTTTTGGTCAGCTACTCCATTACCTTTTTTTTTTTTTTTTTTTTTTTTTTTTTGAGGCAGCCTTCTTTTATATCTCATGGCAGGCCCCCGAACTACTCAGACCTCTCTGCCTTCCAAGTGTTGGACTAAAGACATGTGCCACCTTGCCTAGCCTAGCCTCTTTTTCGACTCTGCCACATTCCTAGATGAGATAATATTTCTGTGCCCATGGCTCCTGGCTATCAGCTGCTCAAATCAAACACTCAGCTGGTTTTCTATCCAGCTGAGGGTTCTCTAGAGCTTGTTGGAGTCATCCATCACTTAAGTACTTGGTTAAGAAAGATTGGAGCCTCCAGGCAAGTTGCTACTGACACTCCCTAGGGCCATCTGTTGGACTGTGCTCTGTGTCCTAGTAACTCTTAAGAGAGAATAAAAAACAATTGCAGGTTCTTTGTTCAGCATTCTTAAGTTGCTAAGAGCAAGTCTGTAGGAAACTGACAGGTTTACCTTCCTCAATGCCTAAACAGTATTAGAAAGTGCTGCTACATTGTATCTTTTAGTAGCCCATAAAATCTAGAGGTTTGAGATTGTTTTAAAGATATTAGATTAGGCTTGGGCCATAGATGACTCATCTAACCCTGATGCAAAAGACTCAAGTTCATTTCCAACAAGGTGGTTCACAACCATCTGTAAAGTCCCAAGGCATCCCAGGCCTTGTCACTGTCTACGCGCTGAGTTTTGTGGCTTGAATGGAGTCAGTTGTGCTAAGGGCTGGGGCGGGGTGTGTGTGTGGGAGAGCTGTTACAGGGGGTGTGTGGGAGGGCTGTTACAGGGGGTGTGTGGGAGGGCTGTTACAGGGGGTGTGTGGGAGGGCTGTTACAGGGGGTGTGTGGGAGGGCTATTAAAGGGTGAAGGTGTTTTGAGAATGGGGTCTATGGGAGATGATTGATCATGAGAGACCTTTGTGAACAGGTCCAGTGTCTTTATTTATTTGAGAGGGCCTGGAACTCAGTGTGCTGCCTAGGCTAGTCTTGAACTTGTGGCCACCTTTCTGCTTCACTTTCCGAGTCACAGGTGTCCACCACTAACCCAGGCATTTGCTGCCTCTATCGGAAACTACCAAGGTCTCAAGCTGTGTCCACTGCAGGAAAGCATATGGCAGGCTGACAGTCTACATCCTGGAAGAGGGTCCTTCCCTGAGCCTGACCCTGCGGGAGCTCTGACCTCAGACTTCAGAGTGCAGACGGGCAAGGAATGCTTGCTGCTTTGTGCCTGGGCCTGTGGTAGTTCCTCACAGCAGTTTGAGCAGAGTACGATATTAAAAACCTGAGAAAGTGATCTTACCTCTTTCACTTTACATCTGAAAGAACCCAGGCTGGGTCACATGGCCATAGCCACACAGCTAGAGCACAGCTAGCTACAGAGAATGGAGACACGCCCAAGGGCAGTCTACACAACGATGTGGGTCCGCTGTCCCTGTGCTCTGGATTAAAAAAAACAACAATGGGGGTCAGAGGCCCCTGGGTGCACTTTCTGACTCTGCCTCCTTGTTACTTGGGCGCTAAAAGATCACCCGTTCTTTTTAGGTTGAATCCAGTTGGAGCCAAGCCACCCTTTTCTGACTCCAAGGAACCTGTGAGCTATTTCTTTCCTCGCATCTTCCTGGGGACCAGGTAGCCGTTGGTTACAGTTGGTCTCCAGCCCCCTTTTGAGGACTTGATGATATGAGCAAGTATTCATTTACTCATCTTCTGGGCATGTGACTTTGTGGTCATCATTTGAATCACCTATGTCTCCCAAATCCAGTCAACACACTCAAGGGTAAACTGTCATTTCAGGGAAGACATTCTATGTTATTCTGAAATCAATTAGTTGATTTGTTGGCCTCTGTGTTCTCTTTCCTCTGGGCTGAGACAGACGTTTTGATCCTTGAACATTTGTCTTCCTTTACGCTGTCCTCACTATTAGGCACCATCTCCTTTTATATCTCCTTTTCCCTAAGGACAAAGAAGTAAGATTTCCAGCTGGGTGTGCTAGTAGTTGGCACAAAATAGACACAGCCAATGTTAAACAGATAGATAACATGAGTGGAGAGAACTCCAGCCTGGAATCAACACACTCGGGCTACATGATCACCATGCTTGCCATACTTCTGACTGACATTTTTTAACAGAGGCGGAAAATGATTAACATGAAACCTGGTAAGGTGGGCACATGTGTAGATAGAACAGCACTGACAGGCCGGGCCTAGGCTCTGAGGTAGATTTTGGGTTATTTGGAGCTGGTACTCCCAGCATGGAGGGGCAGATACACTGATTTTTTTTTTTTAAAGCTCCATGGCTGTGTGTATCTCTGTGCAGATCTCACTTGATTTGCTTCTCCAGAATCTGTCAGGTGCGGGAATGTTCTCGAATGAGCAATAGAACAGGAAGTGATTTCGTTTTAGTGTATTGTCTCTTTGCTGTTCTTTAAGGACATGCTTAAAATGACGCAGTGAGGTGATGGGGAGTTCTTCTGTGTATATGTAAATAAAGCACTGTTGGCCAATAGGGAAGCAGGATAGGTGGGACTAGGAGTCAAGGAGGATTCTGGGAAAGAGAGGCACAGTCAGTCATGATGTAGGAAGCCAGAGGACTAAGAGGTCCGGACGCCTTTCTCCAGTAAGAGAAATACTCAGATTAGCAATTATGGGTTAACAATTAAGTCGGAGCTAGCCGTTAAGAAATCATAGCAAACGGCCAACAGCTTCATAATTAATATAGTGTCCTGCGTGTTATTTGGGGGCTGAGACAGCAGCGGGACCCAAGCGGCTGGAGGGGACGACTATACGTTACAGCGAGGTGTCATCCTTTAGTTAGGATGAGGTTGCTCTGTCTTCAAGTCACAGTTCTGTGGAGCAAGTATGTGAGAAGTGGGGGACAGACAGACAGACAGACGGGCAGACAGACAGACAGGCAGACAGACAGACAGGCAGGCAGCATCTTCCTCCCTTGACTTCTTTATGCATTATCTGGTGCTGGCTTTAGCCTCCAGGCGTGATGCGTACACTTAGCAGCCACCACGCCTGCTGCGC